TCTTTCTTTTTTTGTTTTTCCCTGCACAACTCCCTTGACGTCAACTGCACGAGGCAAACATGTCGTCCGTTTAGACGCAGTGCCAAATCGAGTGGTACTTCCCCTCCTCCCCCCACCCCACCCCCTTTCAAAAGGAAATAAAAAAATAAAAATAAAAATAAATTACGCAATAAGACAGTCAACGGCTTACGTCAACCACCCCACAGTCAAGCCAAGTTCCTGTACACAAATACATATATATGTGCGGCGAGTCCCCATTCCCCATTCCCCCCTTTGAGCAGTAAATGGCACGACTCCAAGAAATTCAAAGGTCCTCCTTGAGTCCTTTTCAGTTCTTGTGTGCGCATTTCTTTCAAACTCACTGGTCCATTGGCAATGCCACTTAATACCACTGTATGGACATTCAAAAGATTGACGCATGCGCTGAAAAAAACTGTCCGAGCCTTTCCCAGAGAACCTGCATGCCTTCCAATCCTCTTTTCCTTCTTATTCATCCTTTCCCGTTTCCCCCCTTTTTTCTGGTGATTCGGTTGATGGCGGCTTACTTTCCATTCCCTCCACTAAAAGAACCGCCTTGTAAGTGTCGGCAAGAATCATTTCAAAGTATTTCAGCTGATTCACCATGCGCGATTTTTCTTCTCCCATTTTTACGGACCCACGTCCCAGGAGCCTCCTCCACCCCGTCTTTTTTCCCGTCACCTTCGCTTTTTGCCGCCGTGTCATGGAAGCCAAACTGCCTTTATGGGGTTCGTTCGAAAAACAACCACACAACCGGTTCTGTACCATCAAAAAACGTTGAGCACACGTCTCCGGCATGGCCGTATGATACACAAAGCAAGTCCGTACAAAACTCGAGCGATCTCGCACAGCAGAAAGTAAAATTGATCGCATGGCTTCTTTTTCAGCACTATTTACTTGTTTTTCCTGTTCTTGTGATCGTAGCAGGAAATCGTACAAGTTCACCTCGTTCCAAACAAAAAAACCAACAAAAGACGAAAACACAACATCGTGCGGTTCAACCGTTTTACCAACGGCTGTTAACATTATGAACGTACTTTGCATGTCCTCCTTGCTGACACACCGTACTAACAATACCGATAGAGTTTGTTCAATCTGTTTGATAAGTGCATCCACTTCGTGCGCATGCTGCACATCATGCCACCTCACACCATCCTGAATCATTGGCCCAAGCAATCTGTTACATTTAAACGAAAGCTTCGATGCCATAAGAGTCTCCTGATCGGCCAAAAGATCATACACAAAACGTCCATTACGGACGAACCCAAGAGAAAATGTGATGTAAGTTTCATTTGGCTTTCGTTTCAGTGCCAAGCGAACAACATCCAAAAGCATCGTCAGCGCCAAATGGTGTTTACCAATCGTGGCATCTGCCGTAAGAAGTGTGACATTCTGTCCCTTTTGAAACCTGCTGGTAAGATCCATCAATAGCCCTGATACTCCAGGTAAGTCTTCCAACGAGGTGACAGCGTTGCTCGTCCTATCCAGAGATGTAAAGACACATTCTTCTTTCTGGACAGAAATACACTTTTTCTCTATATGCAGCTTTCCACTAGAATTCGCATTATCGTGAAGTACAACCGCCGCGGGTTGAATCCGGAGTTTCTTCCCTTTTTTCTCAACTTGTCCGTCGAACACCTCGCATGCCCGTTCCAGGATTTCATCGAGACGTCTGGAAACAGATTTCTGAAAGGTTGTTTCATTCGGCACACCTCTTGGCAGGAACTCACACCAGCTATGTATCACTTCATTTCGCTTGTTGTCGAATTCCGGGGAAACTACACTGGAAATGGCGGGCAATAAAAAGAAACGGGCACTTTCTTGAGATAGTCCCAACTCACAGAAGCGGAAATGGTTCGCCTCCTCATTATCCCTCCGCATTTGCGTCTTTTTTACCGCACCTAATTTACCCTGCACGTGTACTTGTTGTTGTTCGTGGCTTGGCTCGCATAAGATCGAGTAGTAATTGTTTTTGTCTAATCCATTTTGTTCCATTCCACTCCCAGCTTGTACGGATGGTGATCTCCCGCATGGTTCGATATGTCTCTCCCCACCAAAGCTTCTGGCTACATCACGATGACGATGATGAGGATGCTGAGGATGCTGAAGATGCTGATTGTCAATTAACAATTCCGTAGAGGTAAACGATGAATGAAGTAAAAAGTTCGGTGGCATCGTGATGTCGTAACTGCCGTCGGCAACTATCGCCATGGGATGGGCGGCATTTGGGGCATCAAGGAGCTCCTTTACGGCGCTTCGCATTCGCTCCACCAGAGCCCATGCTTCTGCAATGTCCCGCAATGTTGCTGTTTGTGTATCACCAAAAATAAGACCTTGTTGTTCTCTTGTCAGACTGGCATCACTCTTTCCCTTCAACCAGAGAATCTCTTGCATGTACATGGCACACCGCTCTGCCAAATACTTCTCCAAGCTACGCATGGTCCACTTCCTCTGCGGTGGGGGTACTTTTATCTGTTGAAGGAGTTTTTGGGTTTCAAAGAAGTTTAGTGCCGTCATGCAGACATTGTTCACATCCGTCACACAGAGCGTAAAGTGTTGCTGAATACAACGGTACAGATTTCGGGGACTCTCCATGGGAACAAATTCATCGATCCAAAGTGACTTATAACATTCTGCACCTGTTGTCAGGGTAAATGTCATGGAAGAGAGCACCACATCCTCGTCGAGCGCCGCTGAGTCCTCACGCGCCGTGATCACCGCGGATGTCCCACGTTTCAGAATGAAGGAGAAGATTAGATTCATCCCACTGAGCAGAGATATGGGAAGCACCTTCGCGTTCATACTCAACAAACTGAGAATCTCGACAAACTGATCAACCGAATTCAACGAAACAAATTTTGCTCCTCGAACCACTGGCCCTGCCGGTGTCCATGCCGCCTGAAACGGAAGTGGAATAAAGTCTTGAAATTCCTCCTCTGATTTAGTTGCAAGATGATCCCTGACGCAATCCATAGACAGAACCTGCGTCACAGAAAGGTAGAGTTCACGTCCAGTACAACGTGCTGCTGTTTCAGATTCCACAAACCTTAACAATGTCAACCACAGAGGGGAGGTAAGGATGTCAGCAAAGCATTTCGCACCATCCCGCATGTATAAGATGGCTGTGTTGTAGCCCTCCCCAAACAAGCTAAACGCATGACTTAGGAGGTACGAGATGGAAGCACCCTGTGTGGATGGTCCACACGCAAATGGCTTATTCCGCCATAAACAGATCTCATTGAAAGACAATTTACACAACAGACCTTCAGTCGTGTTCACCTCGACGCTATTCGGCTCAACAAAGTTGATGATCTCCTTTTCACCCGCGTCTTCCAACAATTCCAGAAAAAGAAGGGAACAAAGGCGTTCGTGAAGAAAATCCTCATCTATCAGCGTCGCTTCCGTAAAGAGCGGCTTGATACCACCTGTTGGTGCCGCAAGCACGCCTCCAAAGAGATTGATTCTTATTCTCGTTTGGGTCCACCTGGAGGCTACAAGTTTTAACAGTTTGCTCGCACGCTTGCCTAGTTTTTCCAAGAAAACGGTTACCTGTTTCCCTTGTCGTTCCGGAACTTCCGCACCCCCATTGCCCTCGCTGAAAAACTTTTCCTTGTTGGGCAAAATCCCATGAAATTCACTGATAGGAGTCCGCAATGCAGAGCGAATGTTCATTGCTATTTTCTGGAGGCACTCCAAGGCCCTCGTCGGTGACAAGGAGGGGGAAGCCCCATGTGTTTTATTCGCACCGTCATCTTTGTCATTTTTTTCGTTACCCTCCTGATCCATCAAAGCCCTACAGAACGCCATTGCCGAGCCCAGAACTGAACGCAAGCTCACCGTGACATCACCACGTCGCCGAATACTTCTGGCCTGGAGAACGCGATTCACCTCCATCATTAACGACGTCTCCGCTGAAGACAGTTGCAACCCACTCACCGTCAATGCTCGCACCAACGAGGCCGCTAGTCGTGGGCTACGAAATACCATTCGAAAAAGAGAAGCAGCTGTAGAAAGTTGCCTATTTTTAACAGCCACATATATTGTTTCCACAGTGGAAACGGCAGAAACCATCGTGGAAACAAGAATATCATCCGTTTCCTTCTTGAATTGCCGAAGAATGGCAAGGAATAATAAAACACCACAGCGATAGTCATCTGTCGTCATCCCTCTGAGGGCCCTACGCACTAATTTCCTGACATCTTCCAGACTTTTAACTTCATAATAAATAGCATGGAGTGGAACTGGGCCATGTAGGGGTGACTTTTCTATGAGTGCTTTGGTAAAACATCTCGGCCTCATAGCGCCGTCCCCACCTTTGGGTAGCAATTCCTTCATCTGGTCATGCTTAAGAACCGTGAGAGAAATCTGCAAGGAAAAAGTGTCAGCTTCATTGCAGGTCGCTGTAGAGCTTAATTTATGGAACACGGTCAAAAAAAACTCTTCCATACACGGCCACATCTCCTCCGGATGGTTTCCTCTCTTGACGGCGTCAATAACATCTCCAGGATATAGAAGAAGCAGAGCAACGTCACGGTCGGCAGCGTACAAATCTGCCAATTCGTCTATTCTTTCCACTTTTCCAAAGCCAAAGTCTTCCATTGGAGTATGAGAAGAAGAACCGCTAGAGTTAATTACTTGACCATCACGGTTGGCGCTATGACAAACCCCAACATTTTCCGTAGAATTACTTTCATTATTCCTTCGAAGTAACTGTTGAAAAATCGGACTAAAGTTTGACAAAACTCCAGGAGAATGTGGTGAACCGTCCACCGTCCCTATTGCATCGGACATTAAATATTCGTTCTGATGGAAGTCAGCCATCTCATGGGATGAAATTTTTTGCTCCTCCCCTTTTGCTGCCTCACATTCACCACCCGTCCCACCATCCAGAGAGTCTCCCTTGAGATATCGCAACACCCCCGATGGAGGCCTTGTGCCATCAACACCGCAGCATTCCTCTACAGAACCCAAAAAATAACCGTTCCGCCACGCTGACGGAGATCCACTCCTGCCTAGAGGGGAATATGCGTCGTACGTGTATGAATTGAATTCTTCCTCCTTCTTTTCTTCCTCTTCTGCTTCCCTCTCCCTCTTTTTCTCTCTGAATGCCAAACCAAAACACCCCTCAGTCGCAGGTTGGCTGGGCAGACGTAGATTAAATGAAGATCCCGTCCTGAAAGTATCACCCAACGGTAGCGACATCGTTCCGTCCATGTTCCCACTCTCCGTCACTCCTGCCACACCGTTTTCGCCGGTGGGAGAAGCAAATTCAGACAGTGGCGGCAAATGCAGATTTGTTTTGCTAGACGACTCCAAAACCAAGCAATAATTCCCCGTGACTTGCTGGAGATGGCTCTTTGCACGCGTTCCCTTTGAACTCTCAACAGGCGGCAGAGCCACCGCCTTGCCAGACGTCTCCATAAGACCTCCCAATCTTCCTTTTCCTTGATGCAGGAGAGCACCACTACCACCACTTACAGCTACACTCGTGCTACCTGCAGTCACAATAAGAAAAAAAAAAACCAAAATAAGAGAAAAAGTCAACAGGAAGACCGAGACCAAAAAAAAAAAAAAAAGAGTAGCTGCAGGAATAAACCAAATGAAGAATAAAGCCCAGTTTAACTTTGACAGGCAAACGCAGCTGATAAGGGTGGAAAAAGAAATAGCGAGAAATGAATCATAAAAAAGTAGTAAAAATAAATAAATAAATAAATAAATAACAATAATACCCTGTGATCGTGCGGTGCTTCTCCGCAGCGGGCCACCACTTTGTATTCACATAAATAATATTTCATTGACAAAACAAAAGAATAAACACAAACAAAATGAGACAACAAAATATAAATAAATAATTATATAAATATATAAATATATATCAGAAAAAAAAAACATTCTTCAGAGTCATAAACATAAAAATACAGAAGAAGACATTCGTTTGCCCACACACACACACACACACACAATGAGACATTTGTAGTGCATCTCTCTCTAATTGACCGTTCCGTGCCAATGGCACCACTGTTTTTAAAAATAAATAAATAAATAAAAATAAAAACACGGTTAGACCTTCACAATGGTAATATAAATAAACAAATATAAATAAATATATAGTTGCTATACCCCTCTTCCCTCTTGTACCACATTGTATACATTCGCGTCGGATGAGGAGTCTGTTACGTCGTGAACACATAACCCACACCGCAGATAAACATAACTATACACATACACACAAACACACAAATAAACACACGTACAAAAATACCGAAGAGTTCAGCACCTAAAAAAAAATAATAATAATAATAAAACGACAAACAACAGAAAGAAAAAAAAAAAAAGATGGGGTACGCTAAAGGCACAAAACACACACAAAAAAAAAAAGAAAAAAAGACTTCTCCCACATGCCACACAATCACTCCTCAAAATCCTCTTCGTCTCCCACACTTTGTATTCCACATGCACACTGTAGGATTCACGCCTCAGGTAAAAAAAAGGAGCCGACAACACACAACAGAAGAGAGAAAAAAAAAAAAGGGGGGGGAGGAAAAAAAAGGTGTAAATAACAAGTAACCATAACAACGATAAAGTAAACAATAATAAATAAAATGCACAGAGAACCCACAGTAACCCATTTACGACTCAGAGCCCAAGGGAACAAAACCTCTTTCTCTTACTGGAACTTCCAAGAGTAACTCAGCATCGTGCAAGTAAGCCTTTAACTGAGTAATCCTGGCGCTGATGTACTCTTGTTGCCGCACATCCTCCGCCGTTTGCTGGAGTTCGAAAAGTTTGGCAATGCCTTTTTTAAGCTCATTCACATGTTTTACAACACTTACGGGACGTGAAAGACGATTATGCACGTGAGCCAGCTCCATTTGTACCGTAAGAAATTCTCCTGCGTTATCCTCATCGTCACAAAGCCCAAGCATAGCGATGGTGTAACAGGGACCACCGAGTGCTAGTTTAAAAAGTCCTGTTGGTTCATTAGGCCTTTTGTGCAACACACCTGTGTAATGCGATACGCTGTCAAAGACTGTTGTTGCGATGAAAGAAGAGACGAGTACGTCACGCGCAGGAGATTCCACATACTGCGTGAGGCTGAGTGCCACCACCATAACACCAGGATCCTCGGACCGCAGTGCGGGTTCGGCACGATCCACTGCGAAGGCAAGGAGGCGATCAAAGCCTTCCGCGGAAGTGACTATATGATACGACGCTCCCCGAAGCCGACGAATAAAAAGTGATGATACCTCAACCTCAAAACGGTGGAACGCAAGCCCTTCATGAACAGCCAACAGATCTACCGTGACATCATCCTTGACAAGTGCTATAGAGACAAGCAAGTCCCCCTTAATTGTTGTTGATGGCGACTCCAAATTAATATTGTAGACTATGAGGTATGCAATTTTCCGAAGAATGAGCGGTGTCACCGCGGAGCTCCGACTTTCCGCGGCAAGAAGCGCGGTATTATGCCCCATTAAAAATTTAGCTACAAGATCATCAATCAGCTGTGAGGAGGGAACACTGCCGCTGGAATCTCGAACCACCACTTCGTCCACATCGTACCGGCAAACAAACTCCCCGTTGTGAAGAAGAAGGGAATTGTTTTCCACCGCGATGCAACCGTTCCCTGGCAGTCGTTGCTCGAAGCACACGAGGGAACGCACCCTCCCTTGAGCCTCCGCTCGGGGAACTGTCTCCGATAACGACATGCGATCGTAGTGGTTTTCATCCGTCTGATTTTCATCTGCATCATTCAGGTAGGCCTTGGGATCGTTGTCTTCAAAGTTTTCTAAAAGTTTTTCGGCATCCTGCGCCATTTCCTCCAGGCGACGCAATATTTTTTCTGTCGATTCCCGATCGTCAGAATCCCGCAATTTTTCACTTAAAGCCGGCGCTAAATCAGTACGAATACCATTAATAAACTTGTTGATGCTGCCACGGTGAGTTGGTCGGTTCGTCATTTCCCCAAGACGCCGCTGTACGGCAAGCATATCGTGCATACGTGTTTCATCGCCGCTAAAACCGAGCACGGCCAGAGTGAAACATGGCCCTCCCAATGCGTAGTGAAACAGTGCACGGGAAACAAGGGGAGATCGATCGAGTACAGTCAAATAAAGACCGACATTCTCTCCCACCAAATTAAAAACAAGAGATGAGACAATAACATCCTTTTCGGCCTCAATTTTTTGCTTCAACACAAAGGAGATAAAAACCATCCCATACTCCCGTTCGTTCACGGAAGCGCGAGTGAGTGCTGCTGTTAACATGGAGTCGAATACAACCGCATTTTCAACAGGAAGACGTGTTACATTGTGTATACATGGACCAAAGATGGGTGAGATGGCAATGACTAGTTTTCGCGGGGAACTGTTCTCAAGCAGATCCACCACTGTCTCACCCCGCACCTGCACAATGGAAACACTGAAAATTCCCTTATATTTGGGTCCCTGGGACAACGTCGTCTCGCGAATCTCATTCAGTACATCATGCACAACACACTTTAAAACAAACGATGACAAGGATGAACTGCGACTATCCGCCGCAAGAATAGCCACATTGCACCCCAACATGAATTTGTCGAGTAATTTGTCCAGCATTTTGGAATTCACAACTTCACAGCCATCCGGTCGCTCAATCACTTCATCGACCTCATACTCTTCAAAATCATCATCAGTCATCACAATGACCACTGTACCGTCATGAGTAACATTGACTGTCTCCTTGCACCGTGGATCAAGGACAACAAGCGTTCGCACATTGGAGCTTAGTGATGCATCCATTTCTGTACGGTCGTCTCTTCGGTTGCTTTTACCCAGACGTCCTTCATTCCCTGTAGAATTATCTTCGACGAATTCGCTCTTTTCCCGTCCTTCTTCTTCCTCTTCCACGTATTCCTCCTGTTCCGAAATCAGCGTCAGCAGGGAATTCTTTCTTGCCGTATCTGCATTCTTTGGCAATTCGACGGAAGAGCAAATTAGCCGTTCACTGCTCTTTTTGTTGATCGGGGGCAAATTGGCGGTTGATTTCGTGTCCACAACGGGCAGTATGCTTTTAACATGTGCCTCAATATGGTGGAATACCGGCTTTTTTAAAGGAACATCTTCGCGATTGATGTACCGCGTACTAGCCGTGGTCCCAGCTGTGGTGGACGCGGAAAGGGGACGAGAATCTTCCCTGCTAGAAGCTCGCAATACGCCTTGCGGTAAAGCAATTGTTGTGTCCGTGTTCTTTTCCAGCTGCTGCTCCGTGCGGGCGCCTGCATTCGCATTTACTAACAAATGAGTTTGCGTGGAAGAGTAAACTCCGGCGTGCGTGGGATCCTGAGAGTCGATGGGACCTTTTTCGATATCCTTCATGACACCTCGACCCAATCCTGAAGAAAAAGAAGAAACACGTTTTGCGAGCACTTCTCGACCGTTTTCGCCGGGCGGTTTCGGAAAATTTGGTTGTCGCTGGCCCATGCAAAGTTTGGCTAATGGAATAACTGGCAAGGTAACTGGAGTATTTGCTTTTTTCTCCTGCTGACTGCTCGTGGTGGAATGACACGTATTGGGGGCCACAGCCGAATCTGCATTTTTTGTGGCGTTATTTGGAGGGGCTTTAACCACGCTGACGGTCTCCGGTGGGTGAGGAACCTCGGACACATGTCCCTCCTGAGTTGTATTCAAAGTACTTTCCCCAGTGCCAGCAGCCCTTGGCTCGGGGGGTGGGGGCAGCAGCATTTTCCGAACATGCATTGAAGGGGGCCGTTCAACTTGTTTACTCATATCCGGTTCTTCCCTCACACTTTTACTGTCATCCTTCTGTGGTTGTTGCTTCTCGGCAGATTGGCTGTTTGCGGAGCCTTTCTCGGCCCCGGCGGCATCATAGGGCGCCTCATCCGTGGCTTTTGCGGCTGTTTCAGGATTCGCCTTACAAATAGGTTCATGAGGCACTTTCGGTTCCTCAGCGGCTTCTCTTGGAAAGAATTTTTGGGGGTCCATCAAGGCACGCTTAGCGACAGCAATCTTCTCCTGTAACACCTCACGTATTTTTTGTGCCGAGGGATCATCACTCTCAGTCGCAGCAAGCTCCCTCTCTGCTTCCTCAAGAAACTTTTTCACACTTCCGACATTACCGCGGCTGTTGACAATGGAGGCGAGTTTGTTTTGTGTATTCATGAGTTGGGTGGCGCTCCTATCCCCCTCAGATAAGGTTAGAACCGCCACTGTAAAACACGAGAAACCCAACGCTGCAGAAATCAAATTACTAGACTCGTGATTCTCCTTTTTCAACAAGCTGTTGAGGTGAGTAACAGACTGGTTTCCACATATAACCAACATAGATGACAAGATCACGTCATCCTCCCTAATTTGTTTAAGAACGACGGAAACCACAAAGAAGCCGCAACCACGTGTATGATCAACTCGAGCGACTTCCCA